GTGTGACCAGCTGCAAACAGCCATCAGCCCCTCACCCAGGCTGGCCAGGCACCCCAGTGGAAAACCCACCCTGAAGGGAGTGTGACCAGCTGCAAACAGCCATCAGCCCCTCACCCAGGCTGGCCAGGCACCCCAGTGGAAAATCCCACCCTGAAGGGGGTGTGACCAGCTGCAAACATCCATCAGCCCATCATCCAGGGTGGCCAGGCACCCAAGTGGGACCCCCACCCTGATCCGAATCACCCTTCAGGGCATACCAGGCAGCCCCCACCCATGCACCAGGCCTTTATCCTATATAGTAAAAAGGTAATATGCAAACTAACCATAACAGCAGAAAGACTGGGTCACTATCACATACACTGACCACCATGGGGCAGACACTCAATGCAAGAGCTGCCCTCTGGTGGTCAGTGCTATCTCACAGTGGGGAGCTCTGCTCAGCCACAAGTCAGGCTGATGGCTGCCAGTATAGCAGTGGTGGTGGGAGCCTCTCCTGCCTCCTCAGCAGTGCTAAGGATGTCCAACTGCAGCTTAGGTCTGCTCCCCGCTGGCAAATGGACATCCCTCGAGGGCTGCCAGGCTGCCGGGCTGCCAGAGGGATGTCTGATTGCCATCTTAGGCCCAATCCCCCAGGGAGCAGGCCTAAGCCAGCAAGTGGTCACCCCTGAGGGGTCCCAGACTGCGAGAGGGCACAGGCGGGGCTGAGGGGCCCCCTACCCCTGAGTGCACAAATTTTTGTGCACCAGGCCTCTAGTTCTGTTTATAAAACAAAGAAATTGCCACTTTCTCTGGCCATTCAGAGATGAAGCCTCCACACCTTACATGCCACTCTGAGTCATGGTGCATCTCCCCAGGGTTCTAGTGCCAAAGATCTCTATCCTCCCTGGCACGACCTGGTCATCTGTGCCTGTGGTCTTTCCAATTCAAAGACACTGCCATAGGTTCAGGGGCCCTCCAGGTATAGAATCCACAGTCCAAGAACCCCTACCAAGCTCTTCAACTCATGGGGAGCCTTCAGCCAAGGAAACAGGAAGTAATACTGTCTTAGAAGTTTATTCAATCTTATCAATTTCCCAATGAACCACCTTTCCCTGCGTCATTTTAGTCATTTTGGTATAGGCAAATGAATTTTGTTCCAGGCCCTTGTTTTATCTGCAAGGTAATACAATGGTTCACATTTCTATAAAATTCATCCTCTCTTTTGTAGCTGGTCTTTCTGTGTTAGAGACTCTGGTTTTATAGGAAAACCTTTTCTGGTCACATAGGCCACTCCTCCTGAACTTCACCACAGACCAAGAGTTCTTTTTCTGAAACTCCACTCCATGCAGTTGGTTCACAGCTCAGGGAGAAGCACATAACTGTCCATTTACATTCCTACAAAGGCAATGAGTTCCAGATTCCCACAACACTGGTCTTCAGGGTCTCACTGGGGATCCAGACATTGTTTTATCTTCTAGCTGGAAAATGCAGAGAAATGCAAGATCTGTGGGGATGAAGGAAAGCTCTTCAACTGCAGCTGGTGTTTCAGCTTCTTTCATGAGGACTGTCACATCCCACCTGTGGAATATAAGAGGTTTGTGAGATGCAGAGCCCTCTCCTTCTATGGACCTTCTTCCTGCCATGCACACTCCCAATACAGTCTCTCCTTGTGTTCTGATGGGGAAAGAGCCGGGTGAGGGGTACAGGATCCAGAGGTATGATGCCTGGATCTGTTTAAAGACAGTCAACAGGAGGGTAATGTTCCCCTCTCTCCCCTTGGAGGTTGAGACTGGTGGCTGGATCCTTTGCCTACATATCACTACTGTCCTTTTAATAAGTTTCCAACCTCGGACTCCTATTCACAGGAGAGCAAATGCTAGTTGTTTGTGTTCTGTGCTTATTCAGAAAAGGCAGGAAACAAGGACACTTTTCCTCATTTTTCCATGTTCTCAATAGGCTAATAGAGGCACAAGGCACCCAGGGGTTAAAGCCTATTTCTGACACTCAGGTTTGGTGGACAGGGCTCCTTGTGCTCCCAGCAGATCAGAAAGGGAAGGGAGAGCCCATCACTCACCCAGACACCATCTTTCACCCAATAAACTGCTGCTACTACTCTAGGGAGCAGGTTTTCACATGAGAGTCCTGGAGAATCAGGGAGGTGATGCCTCATTCCCTGGTTGTGCCTATCAGCCATTCCTGAAAAGAGGTCAGTGGCAGCCATGGGAACAGAGGTGTTTCTGGGGCTTGCCTTGCTTACTTACTTGCCTTGCTAGATTACAGGATCCATTGGAAATGTACATTCTGCACAATAGAAGTGTCTTCAAGAAGTCAGCAGTGTTACAGTGAATCTGAAGTCCTGGCGAGACAGATGGGGCCAGAAGAGAAGTTGGTGAGTTGAATTTGACCCAAGACATCTCCTTTCTGCTCACATGAGAAAAGTCATAGGTGAGGGCAAGGGTTTCAAAGGGTGCCTGCTCTTCTGACCATGCCTCAACCACGCTGAAAACTCACCAGAACCTGCTTACAGGAATAAAAAAAGAAGAAAAAAAAGAAAGAAAAAACTTAGCTATTCCATGTTAGGCGCAATCCCTGTTCAGGGAAACTTCCAGAAGACTACTATGGTCATGCATCTGTCTGGGCTTGCATACGAGCTCATTCTCTCCAAGCTGCTTTTCATTCATAATCTTCTTCTTTTGCAGAAATGTGAATTCCTACTCCTAAAGGTCTATTACCATTTAGAGAGCAACATTTTTCCGAATATTCCACATGAACATTATGTGAGTAACAACAACAAACCATGATTAAAAGCCTCTGTAATATTACCCCACCTTGACACGGTCACTGTGGGATCTGTGATATGAAGCCCATGGGAGGGAGAGCATGTGAGCTGTCTTTCTATTTACCTTGAATTTCCACTGGATTTTATGGAATCCACAAAAGACAGACATTGACCTGTGTCTGTAATGCTCCTATTGATATATTTTTCACCAGGTTCAAAAGGCTTCTCAATGCCTAGAGACACTTAAGACCTTGGATGAAGTCAAGAAGAGTTTAATTGAGGGACGTTACCTCCAAGTGGAGGAGTTTGTGTTGGACATGAATCGCATCTTTGAGGACCCCAGGGTAAGTGGCTCTCCCTGCTTCTATTTCATTTTCTTTCCATTAAGTCACTCTGCCCACATTTCCTGGTGCTAGGAAATTATTTTAAAGTTTCCCTCATCATATGGCAAGCCTAAACAGCAAGGATTCAGGAAGTGACTGGGTTTTTTAATTGAGGATTTAAGCTCACCAGAGAGAGTAACAGTGAGTAAGGAATTGTCCCTGCAACCAGACTCCAGGCCCCTAAGAGCTCATTCCTCTCCTCAAAGGTGACAGGTGTCCATTGAGGACAATGGTGTCCTCCCTGTTCCAAACCTAAGGAGAAAATTCCTTCCTAAAGTCATGTTATCCTTCTTAAATCTCCCGAAATATACTCAATCAGACCTCTCAGAG